ATTTATTAATAAAATACGATTATGTTCAATTTACAAAAATTTTAATAATAAGTTATAATAAAAAATGAAATATTGATATATAAAAATTATAATTAGTATTTTTTCATTGAATGGATTTTGCTATTTTTTAATAGAAAATAGTTATCACACCATAAATGGCAATAAAAATATTTTTTTTATTATATTTTCAATAGATTTTAAGACAAGTTATTGTTAGGATTTATGTGAAATCGTTTGCCGTCTATTCTCTAATAAAAAATAAACTTTTTCAAAATGTTATAACAAATAATAATTACCTGAAAGCAATTTAATTTTAGTTTTTTTATAACAAACATAATTGCCAACAGTTGTTACAATAGATCATGTAATTTATAAATAATTTATTTTTATGCAAAAATTTAGATTTTCTGAATGAAATAAAATTTTTCATTTGTTGTAAAACTAATAATGAAAAAATTTTAATAGAAGATGTAATATAAAAATCTATTATATAATGTGTATAATTTTGTATCGTAAAAGTAGTTGTAAGTATTACAATACCTATTCTCGAAAAGATAATATTAAATGTATTTTTGTGGTTATATGGGATGTTTGAATGGAAATTGTCATTCAATTTCTATCATAATCGAGAAAACGGATCAATGAATTTTTTTTATCAAATAATATCGCTTTTTATTTGTTTCGACATTACATTTGTACTCATTGTAAGTGAATGAATGAATGAATGAGAGAGAGAGAGAGAGAGAGAGAGAGAGAGAGAATGAAACCCTTGCAGTTGTATATCATTGAAAGACTACTTTTGTCACCACTTTTGTCTGTTTTATGCAACTATTCAATAGACTGAGAGAGAGAGAGAGAGAGAGAATTTTGGTAAAATGATATAATATTCCTGCTAGAAAAAAATATATTTTTATTATAAATAAACACAACCCTACTATAAAGTTATTACACTCTACTTTATTTATTGAATAGAATGAATGTGGGCTTTTATTTGTTAAGAAATACACATTTCTATACCCAAAAAATGTTTTCAATGTAATTGTTTACAATACCAATACTTATTGATAATGATTTGTAAATATAAATGTGTTTTATTCAGTCAATCGATATTATTATATCAATAAACCAAATATTTAACCCAAATATAACGCCGTAAATATAAGAAAATATAAGTAGTCATAAATTATGAAACCATCATTATGTGATGACCAGACTTTGGGGCTACATCAAGAATTGTCATACTATTTTTAGTAAGCATAATTTTTGTTTTACCATGGTGCATTATTAATATTATCTATAACATTACAATTATTTGTTAATTTCTCAAACTTTTGACTAAAAATATATGAGTAGCAAAAAGAAACCCCAACTCATATTAATATAACATTATGTATGAATGTAAAAATGTGAGTGTAAAAATTATATTTCACTAAACTTCACATTTTTACACTTAATTTAAACTAGAGTTAACTAATGGGCTACATTGTTTTTACTACGATTACACGGATACAGTTGTAGATTAATTAATTCGTGGATTCTTACCAAAACTCAAGCACTTAGACATATCAAGTGACCATCAAATGCCTGTACTTTCCTCACATCTCTCTCTCTCTCTGTCTCTCTCTCTCTCTCTCTCTCTCTCTCTCTCTATCTCTCTATCTATCTATCTATCTATCTTTCTCTCTCTCTCTCTCTCTTCTTCTTCTTCTTCTTTCTTTCTTTCTCTCTCCCCTCTCCTCTACACACATATACATCCACTCATTCTCACGAAAACAGACATAAATTAATACAACAATCAATAGATGAGTGAAAATCATACACAAAATAAAATAAAACGTTTATCCAAGCGATGAAATATTAGGCAAAAATGGTTTGCGGGCTTTTGTTTGCCAAACAATACAGAAGTGGATATATAATTGAGTGGAAAGGGCTTATGGTTTACACAAATGAAATATAATGGTTGCCAACAAATCCATTGGTTTTCTATACGTTATGATTAGTTTTGTCGTAGAAATTGATGGGATTTTTCTAATCAGATGTTCAATGAATGTAATGTTAGCCACAAAAATAACTCTAATATCAAGTGTTGTTTTAATGGTTAGATATTCTTGTGGGCAAAAGGGCTTATTTAGCGTAAATTAAACTATTATTTCTCACAAAATTACATTACAATTGCTTTTAATTATAGTCAGAGAATAAATTAATTTGCTTTGTAATCTATAGACTATAGCATTGTGGTTAAAATGAAGATCATTTATATACTCTATATGTATAAAGTGTTACCTCATCATATTCAAGTATATTGTCAATTATAACGCCACAGATATTGCAGAATCTAAGCATAAATTATTGATTTTTTTATATCTTTGTATATTTTCCGGACTTTTTTTTATTGTATTCATAATACTAAACCATATTTCATGCAAACAAAGTTATTATTTTTTTAGCTTTCATATGGAAATATCAAATTAAATGAAAATAATAACTAAAATTAATTAATTACTATTAGTTCCGGTTAAATATATGCATTGAATAGTTTTTATTTGGAGTAACTATGTATACAATGGTTAGGCTTCGGACCATTAGCTCCAGCGGTGAGACAACCAGACTTTGATAGTGAAACCCTTGCAGTTGTATATCATTGAAAGACTACTTTTGTCACCACTTTTGTCTGTTTTATGCAACTATTCAATAGACTGAGAGAGAGAGAGAGAGAGAGAGAGAGAGAGCTACGATCTGGGATTTGTTTGTATTAAAAAAATATAATTTCTATGTAATGAATGAAGCATTAAATTAATTGCAAAAGTAATTAAAATCTATTATAATTGAAATATATTTGCCCGCATTTCGGGTATAGTCTTAATACATTTCAGTCGAGAGTTTTAATTTTAATTCAAGTTTTCAAAATATTATACATGTTATTTATTTTTATTATAATTTTAAAGTTCTATAATGCTTAAAATTAAGTAATTATATTTATAAAATTACACGTTTTATACATTAATTATATTTGAAGATCAGACAACTGTATTAAAAATTGGGAAATAATTATTATTTCCATGTTTTTATGTTTTCATTTATATTCAATTAGACAACAATATTGTAATAAGACTTATGATAAAACTTTTAATAAATCATATTTAAATATAATTAATTAATTTTATGACTGAAATTTTTAAAGTGCTCTCATAATAATTAAATTTTTTATACTAATCCAGGTGGAATCATAAATGTCATATTGCTCAATTGTAAAAACCTTGATAAAAAACTAAATCATAAATAAATAATAGCTTTATAAATAAAATAAATTATCCCTGGTCATTAGGGAAAACAATATGTCATTTCTCAACAAAACCTGTTTCGCAAAACTTAGTATTCCTTCCAAGAAATCATACAAAAAACAATTGAATTGAAAGTGAAAACAGAAACTTGTAATTAATATTCTGATAAATCATTAGAGAATCTGAAATATAATACAAGAATTCTTTGTATTAAATGTGGAAATGTTAAGCAAATTCTGGTTTCAATTAGAGAATGATATAAAAAATGAATTACAGTGTCATTCATCCTGTAATTGAATGAACAATAATATCCAGCATTTTTGTATATTAGGGATAATATTAATATAAATCATAATATGGATAAAGAAATACAAGTAAAATATAATATAATAAATAAATGGATTCTTTATTATAACAACTAGTTCGTTGACATAGGCAGATTTATGTCTCCGTCATTGTATATGCATATTATTCTTATGGTTATAATAAGCTATGACTTAATATCTATGTGTATTAACGACAAGAATATTCTGATAAATGTTCAGTCAATTCGATTAATATTCTGTACATAAATAGACATAAATTATTATTCATTATAAAAACAGAATTTATTGCCACTGGCTTTCAAATACCAACACATAATCGCGTGACATATTGTATAATAGCTCTCTCTCTCTCTCTCTCTCTCTCTCTCTCTCCTTTGTTCGGGAGTTCGCATCTGTCCTTTTCCATCGACTGCAACCACTTCTGGTACTCCGGCGGTCCGATAGCGCTGTCCGAAAGAGAGAGAGAGAGAGAGAGAGAGAGAGAGAGAGTTGTGAACGCAAGTGCTTTCAGTGAATGTGCAAAGATATCGATCGATACCGAGAGAAACGAAATGATATTCTCTTCTCATGTATAGCGAGTGCACACAACTCTCTCCGCTGTCTAACTGTTTGCCACTAACTTCTCACACAATTTTATTCGTGAGTTCTTTCGTTTGCATTCATTGCAGTCAACACAACGAAAAAAGTTTTTACTTTTTTCATTTTCTATATCATTTGTGAGAGAAAGAGACGCTTTTCTCTCCTCTTTCGGCAAAACCTAATAGTAATTGTCGGCCAAAAGGACTCAAACCGACAAAAGAGCGTAAATGTGTGTTTGAAAAAGTATTTTGTCCATTAAGTGAGTGTAAAACACAATTTCTGCATCAATACATAACTATGTACTGTAATCATCATCATCTAGTTTGCTTGATTAGATGTCCACGTTCAATCCCTGTATGACTATAAATTAGATTTATAAGAAGTATACGATTGACAAAAACATACATATTTTTTATTACTTCTGTTTATGTGTCACATATTGTTAACGAAGTCATTACTTATTGAAGAATATTCTGTGCGATTCTGTGGACAGAGATTTTGCACAGAAATCAAAACATTTGTGAATTAGGCGTGAAATTTTTATTACTTCTGTTTATGTGTCACATATTGTTAACGAAGTCATTACTTATTGAAGAATATTCTGTGCGATTCTGTGGACAGAGATTTTGCACAGAAATCAAAACATTTGTGAATTAGGCGTGAAATACATACACGGATTTGACAAATAACTAAATAAAACTAAAATTTTTAATCATTTGCCATTAGTTGCATTTGATATGTGGTAGTATCAATAACAAGATCAACAAAATTCACCACGACTACAAATCACCACAATTACAACTCGTAAACACTAATGGCTGTAAACACTAACGGATTTGGTAGTGGCGTCGACGGAGGTCTGGCCGACGATATTGTTAAACAGGGCTTTCTATGGGTGAAACGGCCGCCCCGTAGCTATTGGAACAGGATCAAGGTAATTTCTAACAAATAATTTACATGTTATAAATGTTGATTAATTAATTTCACGCTTATGTCAATGACATTATGTGATTCGTGTGAAACAAATTTTTGGTGAATTAAAAAATAAAAATGTATTCTAATACAATATGTATTCACTCGAGTGTTTGAAAAATGATATTTTAATTAATATAATTAAATATTAATCAATATATTCTTCTCTCTCACACATTAAATAATTCATTGCTCCGTTTTCTCACACTTTGAATATGAATTTAATTTATCATATTTTTTGTGAGTTTCCACAGTTTGAACAGAAAATATTATTAAACTTTTTATTTTATTTTCCTATTCATATTTAATAAGGATTTATTTATACAGAAAGCAAAATATTATTTAATAAATTTTTATTTTTAATCTCTATATTCAGTATTTCCTTATTAATATGTTTGTAAAAACATATTTCTAAATACTTTTGAACGAATATAAAGTGGTTTACATTATAAAAAATAACTTAAAGATTTAGTTTAGTTATAAATAAGTATCTTTTAAGATTCTCTCTCTCTCTCTCTCTCTCTCTCTCTCTCTCTCTCGCACTCTCAATCACTCACTCACTTAAAATCTGCTTAAGTTTTACGAAAGAAAGTTTTAAAATTACATTCAATGACAAAATCTATTGACAATATTTTTATTTTAAAATGTTTGAGTAAATTATATGTCGAGGAAATATAAGAAACAATTATTGAATTTTTCATTTAATTTTTATTATTGAGTGTTTTATGGACACCGTATTTGATAATAATATAGTGTAAACACAACTACACACAAAACCTGACATTAAAATCCAATTTTGTTTAAATAAAAAAAACAAAATCAATTTCTCTATTTTCCTGCATATGTCTTGTATGCATACAATTATCATTACAACAAATATTGATGTATTTCTCTCAAAATCCCATTTAAATAAATGAGACAAATATTATTGAGTGCTTTGATTGTAAACATTAAAATATACAAATATAATAAGAAAACCCGAACTAAATTCTGGTATTTATAATCAATATTCTTGTTGACAACAATTGTAAAATAATTTTAAAAATAAAGTATATATTTGTACACAAAATGAGTTTTCAAACTGTGCTCAAAATTGTCTGATGAATGTTTGCCGACTATTTTTTCTATTGATAAATCATCGAAATGTTTATCAATGAAAGGAATTTATTATATACTTTACAATAGAGGAGAAAATTGTTTACATTTGAAACGAAATAAAATTTAAAGGATAAGTCAAGTCGAGTGCCTCTCCTATATTACACAAATATTTTCGTTTGATATATACGTTTCACAAAATTTTATAACAAAAAATAAGATAAAATACATTTAATGTTCGAGAATATTGAATGTATTGAATACGCGGTTTATGTCCAGAATTTAATTCAAAATAAATTCAATTACAACAAGAAGTGTAGTGAATGTATGCAAACATATAAGTATTTTATTTACCATGATATTTTTGGCATATTACATACTCGTTAGCGATATTCTCGATTATTTTTATATTAATTCACGTTTGAGTAAAATATTTGAATTAAATATAGATTTTTAACGCATAAATATTTTCTTTGAAATTTTTTGTTATTTATTTTTAATGTCGTTTATTTTCATAATTTTTATAAAAGCATAAAAGCATTAAAACTTAAAAGCGTTTTATAGATATTTATGGCTCGCAATAACAAAACTTTATATTCCGATATTAAAATATTATTGAATTTTATGAGCGATATATGCGTTAAATAATATGATAATCATCTCAACCTCTCGTATACCGACTTTATGTATACCAACTGTCACTCACTCTCATATAACTGTCATTTTGGAGTCAATATAAGTCGAAAAACTATTTTTTGGTAAACTTTTTTTCTGGCAGAATATATAATATAATATACAATACCCTAACTCTCAATATATAAGAATATAAGTGTATTTACAATACTGTACAGTATTTTATTGAAATACTGGGGTATGAGTAGAGCATTGGGGTAGTCGTACACATCTCTTGTGTCAATATAAGACTTTCCATACATTTCCCGTTATTAAAGTATATCAAACAGAGAGAATGGGAGAGCAAATACCGTTACATTTAAAAAATACTTTAAGAAATAACCATAGGAAAATATGATTAAATAATAATTTCTCGGTCATATATATCAATATTTAAGTAGATTATTCGTGTATAAATATAAGTAATATAAATCAAATACAGGTATTAAAAATGTATTGTTGACTTTTTATTTTTATAAAATATAATTTGATTGATTGTATAAAATGTACCAAAATCAGATTGGGAGTGTAAGTAAATATAAGAATCGACTTATTATCATATTTGTCAATATTAACCACATATATAACTAATTTAATGATATATAATTTATTAATATTAATCTAGAATTTAGATATTTACTTAATTGTTATTAAATTATAAAAGTAATAAATAATATAATTTAATATATTTCGTATTATTAATCGCAAGAATTTATTAAATATATAGATTTTATTAAAACAATAGTTAATATAAAATTGAATATACAATACTACTGTAGTAAACCTAGACCATGAGTGAAATTATTAAAATCCTATACATTCTTAAGTTATCACATATAATAAGTCATACCTGTCAATGACCAGACATGGTATGCACCGGTGCTCTATGGGTATCGGATATCCTTAATAGACCAAATACTTTATGCCTTTACTTTTATTAATATTTATATTGTTTTATATTTATCTCATTTTTATTGTCAACCGTTTGTTATGAAACAAATGACAAATATTTATTTTAGGGAAATTTTCTATCGATTCCATTAAATAAGAAATACAATACTTATTTCTACTCCTTTACTGTCTTTACGTCAAACAATTTTTTCATCTCTCTCTCTCTCTCTCTCTCTCTCTCTCTCTATGCTCTCTATCTAGCGCTATGCTCTCTATCTCTCACATAACTATTCAATTGTTTCCGGATTTCAAGCTTAGGCTTCAAAACAAAAAACTCATAGAAGTAGTGATAAATCTGTTATTTTTATATAATATATTTCCCAAACTTCTTGAGATGTGTTAACCATTCTTCTGGTTATGAGCTCATGATTAGTCTCTTAAGAGATCGCACGACACATAAGTGACACAAAGATTGCAGTTATATATACAGACATGATGTGAAAAATAAGTTTTTGTAATTTTTTTTGGGTCAATCCCTTTGGATTTGAAAGTTTTTAGGATTTTGTTTGATTTTTAATGTTTATTATATATTGATTTTTATCTACTTTTTTGAGTGGTTTTAACGGAAATTATTTAATTAATTCATCAATCATTTGTATTGTTTGCTCAAAATCTGATTAATAATGCATAGGAAATGTGATATAATATGTGTTAAAAATACTTTTGCCTAAAAGCAAAATGCAATTTCCGTCAAAAAATTTAGTTTTCTATTGATAACTAATTTTATAGTAAATTTTATTAAAATTTTATTATATATAATTTGCATAGAATTTGCAAATTTAATTCACAGAACTTATGGCTAAATGTATATAAAATATAATTGAATTTTCACCGCATTTTTTATTATAAATTTTAATATTTATACAAAGTTATGTGCAATTTCTATAGCATTTACGTATATTCACATGTGGTATAAAAATTTAGTACATTTTTTGTAAAAATTATCTTACAATTTCTTCATTGAAAATAATTATCACTACAATTATTGTTTTAATTTAATGTTTACTTTTTTGCAACTGATATTGTGTTTTAAAATTTATATTGTACGAAAAATATCAAGTACTTTTATGAGAGAACGTTACGTAATCCCTATAGATATAAGACAATTAACCATTCATTTATATTCTGTGCATTTGTTTTAAAAATTTTAACTTTAATGTTTTAAGAAAACACTTCTAATGAGTATAAATGGGGATTTAAAGTAGGCTTATATTAAGTGATATTTACAATGAGTTTTAATACCGTCGATAAGTAAATCAGATTTAATTAACTTTCATTTGAAGAGAGAGAGAGAGAGAGAGAGAGAGAGAGAGAGAGGTTTGGTTAAACAATACTATATATCACAAATAAATTGAGTTAAAATCAATGATCTCTGCATCACATGAGAAATATTTGTTCAAATCCCAGATATTTCTATAAATATCTTATAGTCTGGAAAACAATAATGGGGTAAAAAGATGGGATCAAACAAATTACAGTCCGGCCCCGAATTTGGCATGTCATTGGTGCTGTCAAAAAGATGTGCCAAAATTGGGTTCTGCTAAAATCGGGGTCATTAGCAGTGCTAATATGACTCGTTGGTGCTAACAAAACCTTATGCTAAAATCGAATTCTGCTAAAATCGCGTGTGCCAAAATCGGGGCCGTTCTGTATATTCTTTATGAATCTTTAGATGTTTTATAAAGCTATAAAATAAGCATAAAAATTGGAAAAGTGTTTATAATTATTTGTTAAATACATTGATAAAACTTAAACTAAAAGTGTATAAAAATTTAGAAACTTATGTTTTGCAAAATTGGTACAAAAACTTATTAATTGATAGGAATTATGATTACTGTTAATTAAAAGTTAGAGAACTGTTCGGGTTTTGTATTAAATTACTATTTGTTAAGTCTGTGACAGTAACTCATAGACGAAAGCAGAACTACAGTATATTCCAATGGTTTCCTTTATTATTGTTGAGGCTTTCCTTTTTAGAAAATATTTGATTGGAGAAGTGATGGGAGTCCCAGAATGGGGTGTTTTGGCTATTTTCAAAATTAAATACCTTAAAATAAGATATCGTAAATTTAAAAATTTGCATTTTCCCCTTACTTGTTAGTGATTCTAAACATTTTGACATATTGATTTTTTAAATTGACCTAGTAAATTTTAATTGGGAGGGTTTTATTACGCAATATGGTATTGCAACCGGTGCACAACGACCAGGATGTATATTATATGAATAAACCATGTATACGGATAGTTATTATTAACATGGATTACTTGTGTATAATTAAAGTTGATATAGTATTTTAGTAATAAGTGAGAGTATCACGATTTAACAGCACTTACTATATTCCTATAGTGTTAGTGAAGTGCAAGTGATTGGTAGCACCGGTTGTGCCCTCTATTGTGAGCGCGAGTGTTGACTGAATGTGACATTTGTTGACATAATATGGCGTTTGGCAGACATTGAGCGCCAATCGAGTGAATGGTGTGATCGACAATGTCTTCGCCCATCACCACCTAATTGACGCTCAACACCCCTACACATCACCACCACTTGATCCCATCACCACTAATGGATCCAATGTGTGAAAAGCGCTCATTTCTGTCATTAATTATCTCAAAACAATGAAAGAGATGGTCGGCGGCTGTTGTGTCTGCTCTGATGAACGAGGCTTTTATGAGAACCCTTTGGTCTATTGCGATGGCCAGGGATGCAATGTTGCGGTCCATCAGGGTATGTGTACCACATCCAGCACTTCCACCACCACTCTAATGATGATATCTGTTGATAGCGTGTTATGGTATAGTGTCTGTACCGACCGGTCCCTGGTTTTGCCGAAAGTGTGAGTCCCAGGAAAGACAGGCCCGAGTCGTGAGTATTACATCTCTTGAGTACTTTGTGTCCACAATTGATAACCGATTGATGTATTGAATGGCAAACAGAAGTGTGAATTGTGTCCCTCGAAAGACGGAGCTCTGAAGCGCACGGATAACGGCAATTGGGCTCATGTGGTGTGCGCTCTATATATACCCGAAGTAAGGTTTGGTAACAATAATACTATGGAACCGATTATTCTTCAGTTGGTTCCGCCCGAGAGATACAGCAGAACCTGTTCTCTGTGTGAGGAACAGGGAAAGGAGGTGAAGGCCAAGACTGGTGCGTGTATGCAATGCAATAAACAGGGCTGTAAACACTACTTCCACGTGACCTGGTATGTCATTGTCACCACTCACACCATCCACACCACCCATCCATCCTTTTAATTAATGTGTTTGTCTTTCATGTCATAACCAGCGCACAGGCGGCCGGACTGTTGTGCGAAGAGGCCGGCAATAACATGGATAATGTAATTGTATTACAATTGTGTCCACAATATATGTATCTTCTAATGACTGAAAACTTTAATTTCAGGTTAAATATTGCGGTTATTGTAGTCATCATTACCAGAAACTCGTGAGTTATTGATTGCCGTCATTTAAATAGAGTATAAATGTAATTGAATTGAATTGTAGAAAAAAGAGGGTAATATTAAACCCATTCCGGCCTTTAAGCCCATTCCCAACGACAACACAACCTCAGAGTCGAGTCCTGAGAAGTTGTCGCCCCAACGATCTCAACAAATGTCACAAAACGCAGCGATGGCTGAAATGAAGCACGAAATGAAACATCCGAAGAAAAAGACTATCAAAACGGCAAGTATTTCGTCGAACGCGTCGATGGCTTCGCCCTCTTCTATACACTCGAATTCAAACCACGGATTAATACATTCATTCAAATTCGACTCTAAGACCAAGAATGACACCACCGGTGAAGACGTGATCAGTTCTGTCAAAGCGAGTAATTCTCCGCCAAATGTTGACTCATCTGTCGATACGATCATCAAAAAGAAGAAGAAATCGATCGCATCGTCTTCGCCCCCAACTGGTCCTCCATTGAGTCCTATTATACCATCAAATTCGCTAAATTCTGAGACTAAACCTCAAAACACTTCACTCTTTGCGTCGATATTCTCGTCGTCATTGAATTCATCAAACATTTCATTAAATGCAGAAAAATTGTTTCAAAATCCAAAAGCAAACGAAACGAATGCGAATTCAAACACAATTAAAAGGACTAAATCTGATGCAAGCGTTGAAAAGAAAAAGTTGAAAAAATGCAACGTTTTGCCAGAGTTTGTGTTTCATTACATTTTTGACTTATTTATATTTGAGTCAACATTTTATAAGTTATGAAAATTTCAATTTCAGGCCAATTAAGACTAAATCTGCGGCCAAGGATTACAGCGATTCAAAGCCTATCGTAAATTTGAAGAAAATTCGCCGAAAGAAGAATGAGATCAATGCCAGTGATCTTACAAACGGTGTTTTGTAAGTGACTTTCAGTAACACAAATATTACATTAATGTCTTATACACTAACTTAAAATGAGATGAGTTTTAACTTTTGGTTTATAACAATGAATGCACTTATGGTTACTGTCTTTCACACACTTCTCTAATAACAATATTTTGCACTTTGTTTTACTTTTTAGTTCTTTTGTTTGATTTAAATTGATTTACAATAGGAATGTCGTTAAACCGGTTTGTGTCAGACCTGATACTGACCATAACTATCACCGGTGAGTCCTGTCCTCTAGCACTCCGTAACGATTCTCTGATTAATTTAATTACAATACAAAAGACCACAAAAATTCTTATTTTAAAAGCTTTGGAAATCATTTCAATTGATTGCATGAAAAATTAATTAAGAGAAATGTTATGCATAACTATTAGACATTAAGATTACATTAGGTTTACAAATAAATACCTGTCGCTAACATTTGATTACACATTCAGATCAATACCTGTGAATCACCCAAATATGACTCCATTACAAAATGGTTATACAAATTCTGGTGATAAGACAAACAGTACAACACTCTTCAATTCATCTCAATCCTCATTCAATGGTTTTTCATCCAATATATTACCCAATGAGAGAACCAGTGCTTCGAAAGCCGTGAAAACCGCTGAACAAAATGAGTCCGTTTTTTCATTATTTGTTTTTTGACACAAATTGATTGAAATACTTGTTATAAAACAGTTACGAAATGCCCCAAACATTGGAACAGCTGTTGGAGCGCCAGTGGGCACAGGGGTCGCAGTTCATCATAGATCAGGCGCAGCACTTCGACATCGCTTCACTTCTCTCGTGTTTACATCAATTGAGATCAGAGAACAATCGATTGGAGGAGAGAGTGAGAGATCTGATATCGAGAAGAGATCATTTGATGGCCGTTAACGCTCGGCTCACGGCTCCCGCCAATAATGTGTTCCCAATCAACGGCGCCCTCAGTTCGTTCAACGCCAACAATATGGCAATGAGTGGTCAGTCGTCGTCTCCAGTCAGCGCTCATTCAGCCTTCTCTGCGGCCTCTTCTCCGCGAACGCACACTAACTCGCCGTCAGATATGCAGAGCAAAGGCGTGAGAGTGTCGAGTCCGGCCGCGCAGGGGATGACCCCCTCAACGGCGCGCAACCACTCGTTGCCCTCATTTCATGCCAACGCCGACGCAATTGGATTCGCAAATCATTTGTATTCAACAATGTCTCAGAATTATGCGCCCAATTGTGTGGCCACCACTTCCAACCCGAGTGGTCACACGTCCCCCACTTCTCAGCCATATTATGGCCTCTCATCGCATACACAGAACTCGGGTTGTATTCGCAAAACCAATGGTTCTGACAAAAGATAATATCATTTTCTAAACATTTTATATATTTATTAATGGTATTCATCGAGAAGTAATGTCCCATTTTGTCCTCACTTATGATATTTATAAATATTATTATTAACTAAACAAATGTAGAGATCGTCTCATTAGTCAAACATTAGGTTTTCATTACTAATAATGAAAGTTCACTAATTATTTGAAGGTTTAATGTATTTATAAAATTTGTAAATACCAGTGATTTCTCATATATTTAATTAGATATTTGAACGAAACATTAATTAAGCCATTATTTATTGTAATTAAACCCATCAGACAATTATAACAGCACTGCTCTTCAAATCGCTGCTCTTTCCCATTGATTGCCATTAAGGAACAGTTTGTGAGCCCAGACTACGTGTCCACCGAACAGATGACTACTCGGACAGGTTATCGTAATATTCACTGTAAACTGAAGTATAGCTTCGATCCGCTTATCTATAACTTTGATATTATTTGTCAACCAATCGAGTGATCAATTGACCGAAGAGTCTGTATTGAGAGCAGTGTGTAATTTAATGATGATAAATATAACGATTATAATATTGTACTGTAATATAAAATGGCATTTTCGATGATTATGATAGAATTATAGCATCGATAAGCCATCCCACTTGTAAACCCGATCCTCACTTATTATTAATAGTGTGTAAAACAATTGCTGTCATAAGTTATGAAGACTTTACTCCAATGTTTTGTAAAACTTATTTGTTGTTTAAAACTCCAGTTTTATTGTACTTTTTTCACGCAATTTCTTAGAAATTTGTTTACTTTTATTGAATAATATTCTCATTTCATTTATTCATATTTTATTATCAAATAAAATGACATTTTAATGCCTTTCGTAATATATTTCTATGGCTTATAATAATAAC